GAGGAGGAGGAGGAGGAGGAGGAGGAGGAGGAGGAGGAGGAGGAGGAGGAGGAGGGGAGAAGGAGGTCTGGCACGTAAGGCACGTGGCCACCAAAACGAACATTGGCACAAGTCCAACTCGAAGATCCAGACCCTCTCGCGTTGGGAAAGAATCGCGACGGGAAGTTTTTTGCTACTTTTGGCCTCACGGGGCCCTTACCGGGCCTCGGGACTCGGGACTCAGGATGAAATACCGGTCCCGGGGAAGGGGTCCAGACCTCTGACGTTGTGACAAAATCACGACGTCGGGGGTCTGGGAGATCTCCGCCGATGGCGCCGATGCATCGCGGACGTCGCCAACGCATCGCCGATGCATCGGCGATGAGTCGCCGATGCGTCGGCGATGCAGCGCGATCCTCCGACCCCATCTACTGAACGACCCCATGTAGGAGTCCTCTACAAGTGGCCCCCGCACTTCTCCTCCCCCCCAGCACAGCAGAAACGCCCCAGATCTCCAGCGATGTGTTTTTTGCAAGTCGTGCGTTCTTCCTCGATGTCGGCATCTGGGGGCCGCCATCGGGCTCCCAGGACCATCAAAAACGGGCCCGGGACGAAACACATCGGCGGACATGAGGGGCCCTCCCCTTCGGAAGATCGTCGATACGACAGGCTCCCCCGAGGACAGTGCGGTGGGCGGGACGGTGTGTGTGTGTGTGTTCGCTAAGGACTGTGCCCAGGAGGCCTCAGATACTGGAGCATTCCTTATCTCATGAGGGCGGCTGTGATGTCAACGGCCAAGCCTCAATTGGAGTTCCACTGGTCTCCGGGCCTTATCCTCCTTATTTAAGGTTTCCCTATCCGATGCCCTCACGGTATAAGGGGCACGGCTCCCCGAGTTGTGGCCCGTCGGCTTTCTATCCTTGCGCGCACGCTCAGGTGAGGCAGGAAACATTTTTTTATGCCCCGGCGATACCGGGCGTGACCGGGGGCGGGAGTGAGCCAGTGACGTCACGAGTCGCGCGGGCGCCGTCTGGGAACGCCTAAGGCTAGCCAGCTCCCAGACGGCGCTTGCGCGACTCGTGACGTGACCAGGGAAGAGGGAGGGGGGCGAGACTGGCCACGGGCGTGGTCTCGGAGAATACGACAAGGGGTCCCAGGCATCCGGCCGCTCCGATCTTTTCGATGCGTGGGCCCACAGAGGTCTGGACCACTTCCCTGGGGCCAGTTTCTCATCCTGGGTCCTTTTTTGATGGTCCTGGGGCCCGTCGAGGGCCTCTACGGTCCGAGAGCTGCGAACAAAAACGCGTCTTGACTTCTTCAGCGCGCTGGATCTCTGGGGAGAGGGAAGGAGGAAGGAGGAAGCCGAAAGTAGCCCAACAAGCCGGCCGCTCAATTTTCAGTCGGAGCCTCGGACCTCCCCAGGCATGCGACATCTTGTTTTTTTCATGCGCGGTTCCCGGAAGTCCCGACCCTTTCCCCGGTACTGTTTTTTCCTCCAGAGTCGTTTTTTGACGGTCTTGGGGCTCGGCGAGGGCCTCCAGAGGCCGAACACGTCGAAAGCCTACCTCCCAAACTTTTCACGACGCGATCGTGTCTGGGTCTGGGCGTCATGGCGCAGGTCGACGAGGGCGGTCGTGCGGCGTCTCCGCAGGCCCCAGCGGCGGCCTACGACTGTTTGCAGCGCGGAGCGGCAGGCGCCAGCCCCGAGCAGGAGCGCGTGCCCAGGGGGGGCAGAGGAGGAGGAGGAGGAGGAGGAGGAGGGAGGAGGAGGAAGAGGAGGAAGAGGAGGAAGAGGAGGAAGAGGAGGAGGAGGAGGAGGAGGAGGAGGAGGAGGAGGAGGAGGAGGAGGAGTGACCTTTGGTGTGGGCTCCTCGGGGCCCCCCGATCGCTTGGCGCGGCGCGGCAGCAGCGGCCTGTGCGCCTGGGTTTGGCCCCCTCGCGCCCCCCAAGAGCCGCGCACCAAAGGTCACCCTTACCCTCCTCCTCCTCCTTCTCCTCCTCCTCTTTATCTTTCACTTTCTCTCTATCTTTCTCTTTCTCTTTCTCCTCCTCGTCCTCCTCGTCCTCCTCCTCCGCCTCGAGCGGTAGGATGCGCCATCCGCTGCCGCGTCTCGCCCTCGCAACTTCCAGGCCTCGCAGGTGGGGTTCGAGGCCTCCTAAGTTTCAGGCCTTCCAAGTCGGATATAGCCAGAACCCCGGGTAAGGGAAGCGGGATAGTGATTGGGCCCCGAAGCCAAACAAATGAGCCAGAATCACTGAACCAGGTCTGCCGTGGCCTGTGCTCTTCGGGTGACGGCAGTTCTGGCTAGCTGGCTTGGGCGGCGGAGGCGTCCCCGAGCACACAGCACTAAGCGAGGTTCCGACCCAGCCCTGCCAATGTCCGACCAACATGGGCCTGCTCGCTAGGACTAAGGGGTGCGAGGGCGCGGAGGACCCGAGGGCCCCAGAACTCCGATGTCCCTCCTCCCACGCACCACTCTTCTACTTCGTTGCCCTGATTCTCGTCTTCCTCCTCCTCCTCCTCCTCCTCCTCCTCCTCCTCCTCCTCCTCCCCCTCCCCCTCCTCCCCCTCCTCCTCCCCCTCCTCCTCTTCCTCCTCCTCCTCGTGCTCTTTTCGCGTTCTTGTGGGGCCAGTGGGTAGGCATCGAGGGCTTGGTAATGTGCCCCTGGGGCTTTGAGGGTGCCATGGTCGCCACCCCTGGAATCGCCTCGAAATCCAGGCCAGAGCGCGTTTGAAGCGAGGTTCAGGAGGGTTGCTTCAGCGGTTGTGTAAGCGGAAGCGGCGTTGAAACGCATGCAGTTCGGAGACAGAGTACAGGGGCTCCGCGTGGACAACGACACAGGGGAGCGGCTCGTTAGAACATCGGCCCATGTCATACCGTACAAGTCTCCGCATTGGCGACTGCACCATCGTCCTGTGATGATGCGCAGGACAACAACACGACGGGGCCAAGGACGCGAGGAACATCTTACTGCCGCTTCGGCTCCTGACCACCCTGTCGCCCCCGCAGGTGGAAGCCCCCAGAGGCCTTTGGAGAGCCAAACAGGATCGAAGGGTCCGAAAACCAGCCGAAGACATCCATACGCCTGCCCCGGTCCTCGAGGGTCGATGACATAACTTCGCATCAGCGCGCGTCCTGCACGTCCTGCGACGCCTGAAATTAGGGCAACAGCACGGCGTGTCTAGGGGCGCGCCGAGAAAGTCTTCGATGGACAGGAGAGGCCTCCAGAACTTCGGCTGGTCCACGGGGGAGGCGTTGACGCGCCCTGCCGTCACCAGTTGTTCGCCCCACCTTCTCATCTTTTCTCCCTCTCCGCCTCCCTCTCCTCCTCCTCCTATGTTGTGCCCGCTGAGTGGCACATTCTGGGCCCTCGTCTTCGACCCTTTCATTCGCGGTGTCAAACACGAGCTTGAACGCATCGGCCGCGGCCTTATCAGTGCCTGTGCTGACGACCTTGGCATCATCCTGGCCGCGCTACATGACATCGAGAATCTATTCCCTCATCTACAAGCCGCTGAAGTCTTCGCTGGCCTACACCTCCAAGCCAAGAAATGCATCATCGTCCCTACTTGGTCTCTACCTACCCCTGCCATCACACGCACGATACGGACTACACTCGCCTTCATCCGCGCCCCATGGAAGGACGTCAAGATCTCGAGCTACGCGCGGTACCTGGGCGCCCACATTGGCCAAGCATCAAGCCGTATAATGTCGCCGCCGTCACCTGCCTCTCATACACCGGCCAGCTCTACCCACCTTCGCCATGCTTTCTCGCCAAAGAAATTCACGGTTTGCACAAGATCATACGAGCTGTTCCCTCGAGCGTCGCCAAGATGGACATCTTCTCGTTCAAGCGCTGGGCGGGTGCGGAAACGCCCCAAGGACTGGAAACGCTGCTGGCTGCCACTGTGTGGAAGACGGCTACTAAAACGTTGACCTCATGGCCTGCCCTTCTTCGTGACCACCGTGAAGTTGCGGAATATCGACTTCCCATACGCCAAGTCATCAAAGGTGCATGGTGCGCCGAATGTTGGATGGACAAGCTCTCGATAGCGCAGCGCTTCTAACTGTTCGTCTTCAACCAACTGTTCCCGACATGCAAGGGCTCGATCTACAAGATGACGAAGCGCGCTGGGTTCTCCTACAAGGGCTTCTGCTGCTCTCTCTGCCGCTCATCGTCGCGCCGCCGCTGCTGGTCGTCTGGCGCTTGAGATCGTCAACCATTCAGTACCAACCACACGCAATGCTGGTAAAGGTCGTGGCAAGACCTCGGGGCGTGGCAAGTCCCATGGGAAAGAGCGTTCGATCAAACCCAAGTCACCCGAGCAAACCTACCTCATCGAGCTGCAAAACAACATCTATTTCGACTCCTTCGGCGAGACTATCCTGCACCGATTGAAGGCCTGGTTCCCGCTGACCGGACTTCGCCCTCAAGCTCGACCATTTCACCAGCTTGTTGACACAGATCATGACCCTGCTACAACGAGCACCAAGTCTAACGCTGAAGCCTCCCTCGCCTACATGAACGAGCGCGCCGAGGCATGGGCTGCCCGATGGTTGCCCAGCATCTTCATGGACATGAGTTTCAACGACTTCACTGACTGGATGGAGTGGTGCGTGCCGTGCTTCACTCGAGTCCTGAGGCGTCCCCAGTTCGACGTGATCTTTGCCCTCGACGACCTTGCTGGTGACACGCAAAAGAGGCATCACACCGCCATCGACATCTGTGAAGCGAACTGGCACAAGTCCGCATGTGCGCGGAGCCGCCGTGCCGCAATCTACGCTGCCGCCCAACCCTGTGCAGCTGTGCAACGCGAGCGAGAAGAAGAAGCCGCGGAGCATCGTGCTCGCCGTCGGTGGCTGGCTGCTGATGGACCCGTTCGTGATGAAGACCGCTGGCTGCCTGAAGATATTGCGCGCGGGGCGGAGGGGGCCAGCAACCGTCCAACTTGATCGAGTTGGACTCCCTGCCTACTTCGCAAGCCGCCCAATGGACTATACTTCGCCTCCACCTCGCTCGAGAACCTCCGTCAAAGTTATGGCCCGCGCTCAAGGCGCTGGCAGGGGCCTGGGCAACCAGCTACCGCATGCGCGTCAACCCGCGCAAGCTCCAATGCCTGCTTGGATGCCCGTGCGGCGAGCGCAAGCTCAACATCGATGACATCGCACATTACCTCGCATGCCCGCGATTGTGGTCACACCTATGCCAGCCTCGTGGAGTGGTCCCCGCACGCATCTTCACGCGCATGGGCCTCAATGGTGAAGCCCACGACGGCGAGAACGACATCAGACACGCCATCGCGCGCATGGCGGTGGCCTTCAGAACGCGCAACTTCCTCCGCGCCCAGAGCGCCCTGACCGCCGAGCTCAGGGTCGCGGACAACTTCATCGACCAGAACTGCAAGAACGCTGCGGCCGTGGCCGCCTCGCGACGCGCCCAGAGGCCCCCCCCCTGCCTCGCGGGCGGCGCGGGGCGGGCGCCCGTGAGATCGCGCCTCTTTCGCTCCTCCTCCTCCATCTCTGCCTCCTCCTTCTTCTCCTCCTCCTCTTCTTCTTCTTTCTCTTCCTCCTCCTTCTTCTCCTAGTTGCAAAAGCGAAAGACTTCTCTCGCGGCGCGCTCCTCGCAGAAAAGGGGAAGGGGGGGGGGAGGCTTTGCACTGCCCCCCCTCCCCCCCCCCGTGGAAGGGGGAGTTCTTTCGAAGCTGCCCCCCCGCCCCTCCCCGTGCGTTTTTTTTTTTTTTTTTTTTTTTTTTTTTTTTTTTTTTTGTTTTTGTTTTTTTTTCTCTCTCTCTCTCTCTCTCTCTCTCTCTCTCTCTCTCCCCCAACCATCCTGTGGTGTTGGGTCCTCGTTTTGAAGAGACGGCGCCCCGCGTCCCACCTCCTCTCCTCCTCTCCCCTCCCCCTCCTCCCTCCTCCCATCATCAGCATCATCATCATCATCATCATCATCATCATCATCGTCGTCGTCATCATCATCATCATCATCATCATCATCATCATCGTCATTGTCATCGTCGTCGTCGTCATCGTCATCGCCCACTTCGGCACACCCCTCACACGTTTCGTGGCACCATAGGGAGCTCCACCGAAGGCCCCATGGCTGCCGTCCGCATGCGTCCCGCACACCCATTTCGGCACACCCCTCACACGTTTCGTGGCCCCACAGGGAGCTCCACCGAAGGCCCCAGTGCTGCCGTCCGCATGCGTCCCGCACACCCATTTCGGCACACCCCTCACACGTTTAGTGGCCCCATAGGGAGCTCCACCGAAGGCCCCATGGCTGCCGTCCGCATGCGTCCCGCACACCCATTTCGGCACAACCTCACACGTTTCGTGGCCCCACAGGGAGCTCCACCGAAGGCCCCAGTGCTGCCGTCCGCATGCGTCCCGCACACCCATTTCGGCACACCCCTCACACGTTTCGTGGCCCCATAGGGAGCTCCACCGAAAGCCCCATGGCTGCCGTCCGCATGCGTCCCGCACACCCATTTCGGCACACCCCTCACACGTTTCGTGGCCCCACAGGGAGCTCCACCGAAGGCCCCATGGCTGCCGTCCGCATGCGTCCCGCACATCCATTTCGGCACACCCCTCACACGTTTCGTGGCCCCACAGGGAGCTCCACCGAAGGCCCCAGTGCTGCCGTCCGCATGCGTCCCGCACACCCATTTCGGCACACCCCTCACACGTTTCGTGGACCCACAGGGAG